TGTAATGTCTGCAACTTCTTCACAACTCTCTTCCGTTTCTTTTCACTAGAGGAAACTTTCTTGACTTTCTCACTTGCTTCAAGTTTGAACGATTCAAGACACTCCTTAGCTTTGGAAATCAGCTCCAGCTTCTCATCTTGGCTCGTCTTATCAGCCAAATTGGATCGCTCTTGGTCATATGAAGCAGCAAGCTCGAAAAGAAAATCCAGTAAACACTCTAATGGAGAAAGATCTAAAATATTCGCCTTTTTCATATCCACGAAAATCTCAATGATTTTCTCCCTATAAGATAAGAGCAGTTCTGCACGAGTTTTGGAGAGTCTATTGCAAATATCCTCCCAAAGTCCCAAGATGTATTCCTTTTTGTGATTAAAAACAATGCTCTTTCCTTCAAAAATAGACACGCCTACATTTGTCATTGGTGGAACGCGAGTTATCCCATTTGGAGTTTGTATTTTTAGGGCTTTGTCATGAGGAAGAGATGATGCCTTTGAACTTCACTTTAGACGTAGGCCCTCCAATAGATTCATCACTCACTTGTGGCTTGTCATGTGGGGATACCATCAGATGCCCAATGGCATTTAACTGCATAAAGAAAAGGCAAAAAAAGTAGGTAATTTTTAGTGAAGCTATTCGTTCGATATATATATATATATATATATAAGGCAAGGTGATTGTATTTTTACCTCTTTGTTACAAGCCGTATGCGTTCTCGAGGAACTATCAACACTTGGAACCTCTACGATCTCTACTGGGTTAGGCCGTTTCCTTTTCCAATTTTTATCTTCATTGGTACTCTGGCTTGTATCTTGAGGAATTTGGGTGCTAAATGGAAGAACTGGAGGGTGTTTCTCTATATCTATTGAAGTGAACACCACCTCTTTCAAAGCTGCCTTTGAGGATTTAAGCTTCCTTTTCTTATGTTGTGTAACTACTTTTGGGATAGGAGTAGGTGGTTCTTTGACTTTTGAGAGCGTCTTTCCAACACCTTAATCTTCACCTCCTAAAGGAGTAGTAGATTTTAGCCCAACATTGTCTACCAGAGCTTGTAAATTATTCTCGAGAAACTTTCCATGTGCTTTCTCCCACCAAGACACATAATTGGTGGATAAAAGCTTCTCCACAGGATCTCCCGTTGGGGGAAAAGCCGAATGTGACATAGACCGATACAGTGTGCAAATCCTCCAAAATCCGAGTCCTTCATCTAGAGAGGCGCTACGGATATCATTCTCTAAAAAAATAGGGACGTTCTGGTAAAACTCAAATTGACGACCAAATTGATGCGAGCTATATGGCTCGATGATGAAGGAATTATCATACCTCAAAGGGAGGTAATTAAAACGTAAGCTCATGAAGTAATTTGACTCCAACTCTTGAGGGTCATCGTTATCCATATAATAATAAGGACGAGAATTGGTTAACATTGTTGGTGTCCAAATTATATCCTCTCCATTGTGGATGCATTTTCTTGCATCCTTCTCGTCAAAGTACCTCGCAGCTCCCTCTCCTGAATACGTAATCATCAAAGGGACAGACGGACCCTTAGCAAGTGGATAATGAGTTTTGAGGTAATGTGCAAGCCAACCATAAATATAATGGATGAGAAAATAAACTTTGACCCGATCACGTTGGGAAGAACATGAAATCTTATTCAAACCATGATAAATACTCGCGAAAACTGGGAACGCAAGGCTAATCTTTCGCCCGCTTGCCATCATGCTTGCCATCTTAAAAGTCTCACGACGAATGAAGTTCTCTGCCTTATAGGGAAACACAAAAGCACATAGCCAAATTGATAAGAAGGCCGCTATATATGTTTCATCCTTTTTGTCAGACCTCACCATAAGCTTGGAGAATATAGCTTCTTGATCACTCTACCACCTAGTTGTCTTGGGAATAACTCCGTTAGTATTATGTGTCGATTTTAGGCGCGTAGATTTCTTTTCCTTTTGCAGTGGGGCGGTTTTATATATTAAAGGTTTTTTATACCAAAATTATTTCCACTTGCTCAAGGAGACCTTTTGGTTAACACTCGTACCTTACATAAGGTGATGGAAGGCAGCAAATAAATACTCGCAAGATGGAGGAATAAATCTCATAAGTTTTTCATCCAAACCGATGAGTTTTCTTGTCTCAGGTACCACTTCTTCGTACGGAGAACCCGCAATGGGCAGACCTCCAAGGATATGTAAGTCCGAAAGAGAGATAGATAGTTCTCCAACTGATGTAAGAAGCGTTTTCGTCTTGGAGAACCAAGCCTCACAAAATGCTTGCAAAATGTTCGAGTTTCGATCATAAGTGAAAAGTGAGGCATAGACACCATCATAAATCTTTGCTGTACTCGGGGTTTGTTGGCTTCCGCCAAGCACATCTTCAGACCATTCCCAATATCCTGGAATATGACGATGCCCGCCCTCGATTATTGTTGTGTTTCCCCAGCGTACTTCACCTTGAATTATACGACGCCCTAAGTTTGGAAGGGTGCTAGCAATATTTACGTGGCGATGGATTAGCGCTTGGAGAGACCACATCTTGGACAATGGATTAGAAGTAGACTTGTGCTCCAAGGTCCAATTTTCTACATGAAGGGAGTTCCTCAAAGAAGGCCATAAGGCTGCATACCGGTCAACTTGTGGGGTGTGAACCAAAAACTTGGTTTGTTCTGTGCCATCTTCAGTCTCGATTACGAGATATCTAGGTTTGGAGGATGGCGGGGTATAATCTCTGAAATTTGCCATCTCTTCGGGCTGCAAAAAAAAAAGTCATCAAAGTCCAAATCGAGAATATTAGAATGGGCACAAAGTCCTGAGTGGATGAAATGGCCTCCAGTTTTCGGGCGGGGATGAATATCCATCCCTTCACAACCTGAGAGCAATCTCTCCGATAGTCGGGTCGTTTTAAGAGTAATCTCTCCAATAGTCGGGTCGTTTTGAGAGTAATCTCTCCGATAGTCAAGCCACTTTGAGAGTAATCTCTCCGATAGTCGGGTCGTTTTGAGAGTAATCTCTCTGATAGTCGGGTCATTTTGAGAGTAATCTCTCCGATAGTCGGGCCACATTGAGAGTAATCTCTCCGATAGTCGAGCCACATTGAGAGTAATCTCTCTGATAATCAGATTATTTTGAGAGTAATCTCTCCGATAATCGGATCGTTTTGACTCCTACTCAAATTAACAATGGTAGTCGGAGAAGGAAAGACGTGTTTCAGAGTACTGCTTGAATTAAAAATTGTGGTAATACGAATCTACACAATAATCAATTGTGATGAATTCATATGTTCTAGCAACTGCCACGTGTAGTAGATCAACTGTGTGCTCCATTAAGAGGTCAATTTTGAAGTCTTGTATCGTCACTTTAACTAAGATTGCTTGGCATTTAAAATTCATTTTTAATTTTGGTGCTCAAGTAAAAGAGAAAGTTAGTTAAAGGATTAACTATGGCAAATGTGATCTGCCACTATTTTGGTCGAGATAGAATGCAGATAATACTTCAAAATTAAGAAGAGACACTGACGAAGCCATTCCAAGGAAAATACGAATTGTCTTCAACAAATACTTTAAGTCTAGTCCTTAAAATTTATATTTCTACGAGCCTTCAACTAGGGGCATTAGTAGATAATTAAATTTTGTTGGATTTAAATCCGTAAAACAAGTTGGACTATATTTTAAATTCAACTTACATTAGTCCAAATAAATATTATGGGCTAGTATAATTGAATTACTTATATAAGTCCAATATATATAGATTAAATAAGTCTTAATCCGTTTGGCTAAAGTGGTGAGCCCACTTCATTAAACCCAATATATCATCTTCCTAGAGGCCCAGTTTGATGCCACGTGTGAAATGATGTGGCACACCAAGTCAAGCGGAAGAGTCAATAAGATCGTGCCACGTGTCAAAATGACAAGGCATGCCAAGTCACATTAAAAGGCCATTGAAACCACGCCACGTGTGCAAGTGACATGTTCTGGCCAATCAAATGCGGCCCTATCACACTTTAATCTGATTGGTCGGAAAGAGTTTGTTCTTATCATAAATCTTTCCTCCCATAACTATAAATAGGGGTTTTCATAACCCAGAAAAGACACCAGAAGTTATAACAAGAAGCAAGAAAGAGCTCGTGGATCAAACGCTGCAAATTCTTCCATAAGTTTCAAGCTTCAAGCAATCAAGTTCAAGTTCAACAAATCAAGTTCAAGCTCAAGAACGAAAAACAAATCAAAATTCAAGGAGTACGAGTTCAAATCAAAGTTTGTGCTAGTTGAATTCAAGATTATCGTTAGTGACAACAAATATAGGTTCAAGATAAAGCTCAAAGGCCCTTGAATTTATTTACTATTGAAAAGAAGAATCAGAGGATTCATAGAAATTGTACACTCAAATTACTTAAAATCAAATACTACGATTGTTGTAATATTTTTTGATCTTGATTTTATTTTCTCGACGTAATTTATTGTCTACAGGTGGTTCAAAAATACTCTAAATTATCTCTATCTTTGGTTTAAGATGGATATGCAAATCAATTCATACGATATGACACAAATTCTTCCTAGTTTGGCCGTTGCGTTTCCTAATTTGGACATTGCACATATATTCTTTTCGATACATTCCCTTGTACATGTTCTTTTTACATTCTTTTTAATTGATTGATGTTGAACTTGGGCTATGTAGCAAAAAGAAAAACTAATGGAAGAAATGCATGATTGATCCAAAATTATTAGTAAAATAGAGAAATCTTACAAATATCTGTTATGAAAAAAATATTATTATAAATATTTATCGGTTTGGTTCAGTTTAGTTTAATATCAAACTAAACTAAATATTATAAATTTTTTAAACTTCTCACCAAACCAAATAAATACCGTTTGATTTTGACTCATCACTCGTAAAATATAGGAGTAAAAATATTGTTTTGACAAAATTAGTAAAAGACTATTTTCGGGTCATTTAAAATAAAGTATTTCAATTCCATTACATCATCACATTTATTTCAATTTTCATTACTAATGAGCTGACAATTTAAGCAGAGAAATAGAGGAGACCACACGGATGTTATGCAAAATGTTGGAAATTGCCAATTTTTGACGAGAAGGTGAAATTGGAAGCTATTCCGAACAAACTATCACAGGTTCCAGTTCTTCTCCTTTATATTGGTTGCTTATCAATGGCGATTACTGCTATTACTGGCCATATCCTTGGAAACCTATGCTGCTACAATCATTATTTGTGTTTATGGTTCAGAGAATTAGAATTTGTTGCCTCACGTCACCACTTGAGCCTAAATTTGAGAGGGGCAAGGCATTATGCGGAAGCTACTGGTGCTTTCTTATTACTCTTTCTCTATTTCATCGACTATGTTCGCTTTGGTTGAAATATTCGTTAGTAGTCTGAAACTTGACCAGTACACTTCTGATTCCTTCATTATTGAAAGGAGATGCGGACTACTTTTATTATATCAGCTAATGCCCAATCGTAGTCACTAAATTGCGTAGCTAACATGGTATTTGTGTTGTGATATCAGTTAAAGAAGTTTACTGAAGGAGATAGAAAAGACCTAATTGTACTTCCTTTTGAAAAGAATGGACTAGAAAGAAGTTCATAGAAAGAAGGAGTGATTGCTGTTGCCGATGAGTATACATTGGCTAATGAGTTGAAAGTGCTGGAATGCTTGAAGCTCGGCTTTGCTTATACATATCCTTATTTGGTCATGCTTGAGAAGGTTCAGAAATGTGAATTTGGAAAATTATTCTTGACAAGAAAATTTCATACTTGAATTCACCTATTTGGATATTAGAGCTTGCTGTTAAGAGAAGGAGGCGTGTCTAAATTATTGCTGCATATGCGGAAAGTTGCTTTGCTTATGCCTTACAAGCATCATTATGGGGTTAAGGTTCGTGTCATTAAAGCCTTTTGTTATGGGGTCAATGGAAGAGACACCTTGGCGTACTTTACAGTACATTGGGATTTCTCTCTGTGTTCCACCCTACTTGCCACCACTACATTAACTGAGCATCTCATTCTAATACTGGTCAAATGCCACACCAAAGTGGTTTCAATTTTGCTGATTCATTTTGCAGCATCCATGAGGACAAAATGCTTATGAAGAGGGGTGGGGTGTTATGTCTGAGAAGAATTAGGAAAACGGAGGGAAGGGCCTGACCACACAGTTTGGGGTAAGTAGAGGCTTCTACAGTGTCGTTTGGTTAAGTGTGGAGTTAGTAGTAAAAAGGGAATTAACAGCTAATTGAATTAGCAGTTAATGCGCACGTGGATGGCAAGGATCAGTTACTTCAAGGCGATGACTGAGATCTTTCGCAAGGAGTATATTTCATGTGGGAAAATGGTGTGATGAGTTTGGTAATCTTGTTCCCCATTTCCCTCGTGAATTCCTTCTCTTTCCTTTTCATTTTTTCTCTTCCCCTCTCTCACTCTTATCTTTGTCTTCTTCCCTGATTTCCTTCCTCTAAATTATGCAGGAATATCTATGGTGAGTGGAGATTGAGTCGGCTGAAAATGGAAGTACTGTTCCATTTCTTTTCTTTGTAACTCATTTTCAGTTAGTTAATTTCAGTAGATTGTTAATCGAGTTACTGAGTCTATTTCGACTTGTTTGGGTTAGTCTGAAGTGCTACTTGTCAGCATTGTTCAGATTCTATTGTAATTTCCTTTTCTAACTGATTAATTGTAATGAAGTTGCTTAATTGGGTGAATTAAATTATTGAGGTCATAACAGGTGCTTCTAAGCTATTCTACCTTCGTCTCTTTGGAAACAATAAATATTGGATCTTCATTTTGCACTTGAAAATTTGCTAATGATTCATTCTTTAGAAGAGGCTTGCCAAACACAGCTTTTGATGTTGGAATTCTCTTTTTTCTGCGTAAAAAATTATTTGCTGTCATCATTTGATTTTGTCCAGAAAATGAATCTAGCATGATGGCATATTTATCAAAACTTGTTTCCAGTAGAACTTTTACTTGCCAAGGAGTAAAAACCAGGTATGATGGTCACTTTGTGCGGTTTCTCAGTAGGTCTCTTATGAACTTTTAAAAGTTTACTTTCCTATAATACTTGAAGAAAAGCCTTGGTCAGACTAGCCAAAAGCTCAATCCTGCTATCTCTTTCCTGTGTACGTGGTTGCATTGTTCTCTTTGAGTTACTTTACGTGTTGTATTTTTATTTTGATTTCCTTTATCTTTGTGATTGGATTTACAGTTAATTGTAAGCTTTTTTCAAAGGTCTGAAGATATGCTTAGCAGTAGCGAGAAATATGACCATAATTAATGCCTAACTGCAACTTCAGCTTTACATGGTTTTGCTAGAAATATATTATTCAGAAGTTCAGTGGTTGTTCTTGAATCTCTTTATGTTCAGATTAATTAAGGAGAGAAGACCAGCTTTCTCGGTCCTCTTCTATGAAATCTGTCACATTTTCTTCCCCCAAAAGCACATCTCAGAATTCCTGACCAACAAGATAATAGATATGCGAGAAAAGTCTGACAAAGGACACTTTTGTGGGCTTCAACGAGTTTAAACTCTACCTAGCTAAACCATGCTGGATTTCTAGTCCTTATATTTTTCTAGCATTAAGTGTCAACAATGGGAAGCAAAAGAAGATTATTGGTAGTTAATTTAAGATAATGGAGGATTTCAGTTGTTGGGGTAAATCTTTGATGGTCTAGACCGGCATATGCTATTTGCTTTGTTAAGATGCATGGTTAATTCATAAGGGCTACTTAGTGCTGTGTGAATTCAATAGGTTGGTTCGCAGGATGGTCTGTTGCTCTTATTGCCCTTGCATGTATAATTCACACGGTGCTAAAAATCACGCCTCAGGTTGATCCTCTGACTTTTCTTCCGATTCTTGGTTCTTTTTGTTAGCCAATTAAGATTTCTCTAGAAACTACCACATTTCAGTAGATATTTTTTGGGTTTGTATTAGACATATCTTTTGGGGTAAAATGGGTGGTAGTTAGTGAGCCACATATGTGCTTAGTTTTGTGTGCGATATTTTGCTTATTATGTGAATGTAATTCTCCCTCTTATATATTGTAAAAAGCATCTTAAATGTATTAGAATGAAAATAGAATTCCAAAAAGTTTCAGCTTTCTCTTTCTTCATCTTCAAATTGTTGTAGCAATTTACAGCTGCAATTTCGCTACTGTTCCTTTTTTGTAGCTTTGAAGTTCTTCTTTCTTTTCTTTCTACTTGGTATCGGAGCTTATTTCCTAAGGGATCTGAATCTAATCTAGTTGTTTGGCTCGTCTTATTTCTGGTTTTTCTTGGTTTTATTTTCTGGGTAAAGTGATCATGGCAAATCAACAAACGACCGGTCCTCCAATTTTTACTGGCGAGAATTATCAAATTTGGGCCATCAAGATGAAGGCTTATCTAAAGGCGCTCAACTTATGGGAAGTTGTGGAGAGAGGAGAACCTGCAGTCCAACCTTTGAGAGATAATGCAACTCTCATTGAAATTAAAAGGTATGATGAACTTGGTGACTAGATCTCCGAAAGCTCTCACCTGCATACATTTAAGTCTTACGGAAGTGATGTTTACAAGAGTTATGGCGTGTGAAAGTGCTAAAGAGGCATGGGATAAGTTAAAGGAGGAGTTTGAAGGCAGCAACAGAGTAAAGTCTGTTAGAGGCTTAACTTTGAAGAGGGAGTTTGAGCTTTTGAAGATGAAGGACTCAGATAGTGTGGAAGAATACTGTTCCAAGCTAATGGAGATTGTGAACCAGATAAGAATACTTGGTGAAAACTTTCCAGATCAGAAAGTTGTAGAGAAGATCTTGGTCAGCCTTCCGGACAAGTTTGAATAAAAAATCTCAGCTATTGAAGAGTCTTGTGACCTGACCATTCTTACAGTAGCTGAACTGATCTCTAAATTGCATGCCCAAGAGCAAAGAGTGACTATGAGAAGTGAAGGGATTGTAGATATTGCAAGAAGTATGGGCATATTGAGAGGAATTGCAGGCAAAAGCAAAATCAAAGTGGTCAGTCTTCCCAACGAGTAAATTTCGCAGATGATTACCAAGTTGGAAAATCAGAGGAGGAGGTTTTCATGGCGTCGCACACATCACATGTTGATGGATGTAATTGGTATGTTGATAGTGCCTGCACAAGGCACATGGCGATTGATGAAAATCTGTTTGTCACCTTGGATAGATCTGATAGAACTAAAGTGAAGCTTGGAAATGGTGCATTGGTGCAAGCTCAAGGTAGAGGGTCAGTAAAATTTCCTTGTGACGAAGGTATGAAGCTCATCCATGATGTTCTTTATGTGCCAAACTTGACTCAAAATTTGTTGAGTGTTGCTCAGTTGCTTCATAAAAATTATTCTCTTAATTTCAAGGATAAAAAATGTGTCATTTATGATCCTAAAGGATGTGAAGTAGCTAAAATTAGCATGATTGACAATTCTTTTCGAATTTCAATGATACCTAGCTTTGGCACAAAAGGTTTGGTCATTACAACCTTAGTTCATTGGTGTATATGCAATCAAAGGCTATGGTGCTTGATGTACCCAAAATTGATATGTCCAGAGATGCTTGTGACTCATGTCAATTTGGTAAAATGCATAGACGATCCTTTCCTAAAGGAAGTCTTTGGAGGGCTAAGGGAAAGCTAGAGTTGGTTCATACAGATTTATGTGGACCAATGAGGACGGCCTCTTTACGTGGAAACAAATACTTTATTCTCTTTGTGGATGATCTAACTAGAATGACATGGGTTTACTTTCTAAGTAGCAAATCTCAAGTGTTTTCTGTTTTCAAAGAATTCAAGGCAATGGTAGAAAGGGAGAGTGGCTGCAGGTTTAAGTATATAAGGTCAGATAATGGAGGTGAATATACATCGTATCAGTTCAGCAAATATTGTAAAGATTTGGGTATTCAACAACAACTCACTGATAGCGACACTCAAGAACAGAACGGGGTTTCTGAGAGGAAGAACAGAACAGTGGTGGAGATGGCAAGATGTATGTTGGCAGAAAAGAAGATGCCTAAATATTTTTGGGCTGAAGCGGTCAATACCGCAGTCTATTTGCTAAATAGATTACCAACTAGAGCAGTCCAAGGCATGACGCCATTTGAAGCATGGAGGGGTATAAAGCCATCTGCAAGACACTTGAAGGTATTTGGTTTGGTGTGCTATGCACATGTTCCTGATGCTAAGAGAGGCAAATTAGATAGCAAGGTAGAATTGTGTATTCTGTTGGGCTATAGCACAGTTGCAAAAGGGTATAAAGTGTACAATGTTAGTAGCAAGAAGGTGTTTGTCAGCAGAGATCTTGTAGTGGACGAGTCTAGCCGCTACGACTGGGATCGAGATACTGTTGTGAAGAAACAAGGTGAGAGTACTCCAATTGCAACTCCAAATCTGCAGAAGAGTGATGCTTCCTCTAGTCCTAATGCTGGAATAGAACACAATTCAGATGTTGATATGACTACTGATTCTCCTATTTTGAAGACCAGATCACTAGCAGAAGTCTACGAGCAATGCAATTTTGCTCTAGTTGAACCACCCTCCTATGAAGAAGAAGCATGTCAGGAAGTCTGGATTTCAGCAATGGAGGAGGAACTTGCCATGATCAATAAAAATGATACCTGGGAGTTGATTGATAGGCCAGAGCAGAAGAATGTTATCGGTGTTAAATGGGTCTACAGAACAAAGTTCAATCCAGATGGCTCCATTTTCAAATATAAAGCTAGACTTGTAGTTAAAGGCTATTTTCAGCAGCCTGGAGTGGACTTTGGCGATACGTTTGCTCCTGTTGCAAGGCATGAGACAGTAACATTCCTTGTGGCGCTTTCCGCACAATACAAGTGGAAAATCTTCCATTTGGATGTCAAATCTGCATTTCTTAATGGATTGCTTGAAGAAGACATTTATGTTGAACAACCTGAAGGTTTTACAGTTGCAGGTGAAGAAGACAAGGTATATAAGCTTAAAAATGCTCTCTATGGTCTTAAACAAGCTCCAAGAGCTTGGTATAGCAAGTTGGATACTCATTTGATGTCTCAAGGCTTCAACAGAAGCCTAAATGATCCTACTTTGTACTTCGAAAGGCAAGCTGATGGGAAGTTGATTGTGATATCAGTTTATGTTGATGATTTGATGATCACAGGTGAAGACCCTCTTGCGGTTCAAGAAGTCAAAAATGAAATGTTAAAATTTTTTGAGATGTCTGATCTAGGAGAGATGAAGTTTTTCCTGGGAATGTAGATAGCTCAATCTTCTGAAGGAATTTTCTTGTCCCAAAAGAAGTATGCCTTGAATCTGTTAAAAAAGTTCAAGCTTGACAAGTGCAAACCTGTTGCAACTCCACGTGTTGTGAATGAAAAGTTGATGAAGGATGATAGCGAAGAGAGGGAAGATCCGAAACTTTATAGAAGTCTTATTGGCAGCCTATTGTATCTTACTGCTTCCAGGCCAGACGTGATGTTCGCTGCTAGTTTGTTGTCCCGATATATGCAAAGTCCAAGCATTAAGCATTTTGGAGCTGCTAAAAGGGTGTTGAGGTACATTAGAGGGACAATTGAATATGGAATTTGGTAGCGAAGCGTGGAGAATGGAGTTCTTATCGGCTATTCAGATAGTGATTGGGGTGGATGATTACAAAAGCACATCTGGTTACTCTTTTTCTTTTGGTTCAGGCATTTTCTCATGGAGCACAAAGCAGCAAGACATAGTAGCTCAATATTCAGCGGAAGCCGAGTATGTGGCTGCTGCAACTGCTGCAAATCAA